TTCCCACAGGGATCTCTACCGACCTTATGACACCATATTCCATATATCTTGGTATTGCTAAAAAATGGATCCGCCCCCTCCCCCATGATAAAATCCACATGACCAACAGGCCAAGCCTGGGTTGGCTCCTCCATGTTGTAAGGTAGTAGCTATATGTCTTCTTTCTTGTTTCTCAGGGCCAGCCCCTCCTCAGGTCCTGGTTTCTATGGTTTCTTAGCATAATAGGGGTCTGCACATGGGTCAGTCTCCCCACTACACTTTCAAATTTTGAAAAATTTGCCATAACACACAGTCCAAGCCCCCAGTCCTTACCAGTCCAATGGGGTCCCTGGGGAGGCATAACTACTGTCCCTCTCCTTACCCCCCCCCAGTGCTATACAGGAAAAAGTATCAAAACAGTCAATTTTGGCGTGATCTTATTCAGTCCCAGGTGAAGAGGCAAAAATCACAACTATCCCCAAATATATGTTTTGCAGATTTAATAAGGAATGTTTCACAAAATTTACTGAAGGTAACTATTTGTTTAATACTCAATCGCCTGATGATGCTTCAATGACCTTCCTTGACCCAAAAGCAAAAAAAAAAAAAAAAAAATGAAAGGAAAAAGCAAAGATTAACTTTAAGCTTCCTGCCTCAGAAGCCTGCCTGGTCCACACTGAGCTTTCTAGACCACAACGAGCTCTCCCTGAAGGGATTGAGTCTGAGGGAATCAGAATTCCCACCTCTCCTCCCTCTCAAGCAAGAGATCAACTGGTTTAGGCTTGCTCCAGGCAAACAAACCTGGCAGCATCTCGGAAAGGCTGGGCTAGGTCACACTTTCCCTGTTCCCTCAGGCCCCCCCCCCCTTCTCTCTGCTAATCAGATCAATGAATTCCCACTAATGTAACAATGGTAATTTGCACTCCTCCTCCAGGGTAAACAGAACACTTTGGATGGGAGAGTGAGTGGGAGAAGTTGGGTTCCTCATTCCATGTAAGTCACACCCCATGCAGCAAGCCCCATAGATCATGCTTCATGTGTTAGAATCAAGCCTTGGAAAGAGGGTCCAAGCCCTAGAGAACTAGGACGGCTGAGGGAAGAGGAGGCTTTTCCAAAACCTTCTCCAAGCATTCTTTAAAGCAGGACAGACAACTGTATGTCCAGTCAGTGACACGCTCCTTGTTTCCCTGGAGACTAAATGATACTGAAGTCGACTCCTGCACACGGTCCCCATTACCATAGGATAAATCAAGAAATCATTGATGCTTTCAGGAAAAACATGCAAATCATATTAACATGGTTGTGTCCAAGGATCAGAGGACCTTGGATTTAATGCCTTTCTAAGAATGCGCATGATCCCACCCCCAGAGCCTTAACCAGATAAAACTGCACATGGGGTACTAATGGATGGGGTGGGGAGCAGCAGGGGAGAAAGGGAGGTACACGCAGATGGACCTGCCAGGGTCACAGTACAGAGAAGAGTTTGGGGTGGGCGTACAGGCATCCAAAATGGCGTCTCAGGGGGATAGTACCATCATGGGTTCAGTCATGCCAGGACGGGGCAGCCTGGTCCCAGGGGCTCCAAAGGAGTCATTGGCATCCTGCACCCCTGGTGCGTCATAGGCACGGCAGTCACCAGGCAGCGAGAGCATAGGCTTCTACTCTCCTACGTGTCAGCTCCTTGGACAAAGCCTCGTTCACCCTACGTCCCTGGCCATCCCTAGTCCATTGGACTGATTTTGTGGGTAAATAGCCAGAGCTCCCCTTCCAAGAGTAGATTCTTCCCAGTCCTTCTTCTGCACTGCTCTTTCCTTCTGACTGACGGAGGGAAGAATAAAACTGGTCACGAAGACAAGGTCAAGTGCTTTTACAAAATGATGACAGACAAGGAAGCAAATGGACGTCAGACAATTTGGGAATTTTCTGCTTGTAAAGGGGTCCTTCTTGCAGAAATCTGGAAGCACGCCAGGAAATGGGGACAGACCGGCCCTTTTGTTGATATAAAAGTGACCGCAATCCTTTGTGATAAAGAACTGAGCTCTGGACACTTTTGCAGCGTAGCTGGTGGGCAGGAGAATGCCGATGGAGGACCACATCTGAGGCTTCTGCCACCCCCATGTAAATGCAAAGGTTAAAAATGGCCCATACGAGACCCCTTTCTGGATTCACCCAGAAGTGTCTGTCTGGTCTGACCTTCCCTTCTAGTTTACGCCATCACTGGAATGCCCGTTGAGTGCATGACAAACAAAGGGGTAAGGTATGTTTTCAAGGCCAGCAGGGAACACAATTCTTACATCAGATTTTGGGAACAAGAACCAATCAATGTAAAGCCTTATGCCCCAGTGCTGGGGGAATGACATCCCCTCCCCTGCCCCCTCCCCATTACTCACTCTGCATGGAGACCAGGTGGTAAATGTGTGATTAACAAAATGATTCCTTAGCCTCTATGGAGAAAGGCCCAGGACCCTGACTGAGAACTCACATGGGACCTCCCAGCTGTGCCCGAGAGTGGCATTGACTAGGAAATCACCAAAGCAGCAGCTTTCCCCTCTAAAGGCTCTTGGGCTTTCTTGTTTACAATGCATGCACGTCCATAGAGGTTTGAACCCATTCCCTGTTTAAAAAGTCATGAGAATAACGAAATTGCTTTTGGGACTACAGGGGCCCAAGAACCAGGCAAAGGCTCTCCGTGACTATTGGGAAATTTCATGGGATCATAGATTTAGAGTTAAAAGGGTTGAGGCCGCTGAATTGAACCCCCCTCACTTCATTTTACAGATGAGGAAACTGAGGCAGAGAACTGTTAAGTGACTTGCCTAAGGTCAATCAGGCAGTTTTAAAGACACACTGTCCCAGTTATGAAGCCAATGGAAAAAAGGCTGCTCCCAACCATGCAATAGGCCAATGGAGAATGTCTGCATCTGCCCTGGTTCTCCAGTCTCCCCGTGGCCCGTACCCCAGTCTTCCCGGTGGGATCTAGGCAAGTGCTGAATCCCCATCACATTTAAATTATCAATTAAAATTTAAAAAGGAGACACAAAGTATCCCTTTTTTGGCCATCCACTTGCCTGGGGTTTCTGGTTTAACATGGGGGAATGGTGAGATCTTGTAACCCTGGACCACCATGGTGGCCTACTTGCAATCACCAAGGACCCCTTTTCCTTATGTCTCCTTCTCCCTCTTGCCCTACCCCCAGCGGGCCAGGCCCCACCCAACTGCCTGACTGCTTCTGGAAGAGACGGGAGTCAAGGTCTTAGTCCTCTCTGCGTAGGTGAAGGCCCACCCGGACTTGGGGCCTGGCCTGCCCAAGTCCTAAGGTCCTCCAGACCTACCATTTGACCCACCCTGTGCCCTCCAAACTGGGGTGATGTCCTCTGAGCTACAGATACAACTCAAGGACCCCCTGGGCTGATCATCCATGCCTGGAGAGGTCAGTTTGATGGGTTTTCTGTCCATTGAGAGTGTGAACATTGAGTCCCAGGCTAGGCAGATAAGGGCTCCATTCTTTTTTATTCACTCAGGAAACCTTTCCCATTGTCTTCTCCCTTCCTGCCCATTAGTGCCCTGAAGATTACTTTGTATCAACGGGCATTCACTTTGTATTTATTTACTTGCCTTAGGTATTGTATATCGGATAGGCAGGGTAATGCCCTCTTGTAAGGATTGATATACAGTAGGTATTGGATTAACGCATCTGGACTGACTTGTCTTTGGGTCTCCAGGCTGGATGTGTACTCCTCCCTCACCTCCACCTCCTGGAATCCCTTGCTGCTTTAGTCAACAAGCCAATAAGCACTGATTAGCCTCCTACTGTGTGCCAGGCATTAGGCTAAATGCTGGGGATCGAAAGAAAGGAAAACAGTCCCATGGGGGAGACAATGACCGCCCCCAGATAACTGGAGACAAGGAGCGCATGGCGAGGAGGGGGTGGGGGGGGGAGAGGAGGAGGCTCCGCCTTGCCAGGCTCCTCCCGCTGGAAATTCCTTAGGGGGTGTCCAGGATGTTCTCTACATTAGGCTCCAGAGCAGGGGGGCAGGGGTCACTTCTGACACCCCCTCATTTTTGACAGGAAAACTGAGGCCCCAGAGGTCAAAGGACTAGCCTAAAGTTGGGGAGGACTCACACGCAGGTTCTGATACCCCCTTTCCATGGTCCTACAGGGCCTCCCTCATCTCCCCCCTCTATCCAGGCTAAGAAGGGCTGTTTCCAGTGTCTACTATGTGCACACATTTCCGGGTACAGAGTAGGCGCTAAATAAATGCTTGTAGTATGAATGAATGAATGAATGAATGAATGAATGAATGAATGAATGAATGATGGCCCATTCGCCCTCCTCTCCACCGCTCCACAGAACAGGGACTCAGCCCCTTCCCTCCTTGACCAACATGGAGGACGGGGAAGGGGAACGCCTGGGTTTGGGTCCCAGCTCCGCAGCGCATTCCCTGACTGCTGTCCTGGGCCTCAGGTTCCCCACTCTGCACAATGAGCCCCTTAAACTGCGCGTCCTCAGGCCTAACCCTCATCTCAGGATCCCTGGGTCTCAGTCTTCCTTTTCATGGAAATGGGGGAGCTGGTTGTCTTGCAGCCACGCCCCCGGGCGGCGAGGAGGGGAGGGGGAGGAGAAGGGCGGGGGAAGGAAGAGAAGAGGAAGGCGACGTGAGGAGCTATAAATCTCGCGAGACCTTGTCTGCGCTCGGGAGCACGCGCATGCGCATGCGCAAGGCCGGTTCCGGAGTTGCGCGTCGCAGCCCGCCCGGGATGGAGGGGAGCCTGCGCATGCCCAGGATGGAGGGGAGCCCGCGCATGCCCAGGGGAGAGGAGGAGGTGGTCAGCGCTCGCGAGATTTTGCATGGTTGCGCTTCCGCCTCCCGTGCGGCCGTCCTGCCTTCCTTCCTTCCTTCCTTCCTTCCTTCCTTCCTTCCTGTCAGGGGCGGAAGTGGCGCGTGAGGAGCCGGGGGAGTCGCTGCCGAGGCGGCGGAGGGAGGCCGGGGCCGGGCAGGGGCCTGGCCTGCGGCGGCGCCATGGCGGAGCTCAGGGAGGCCGGCGCCGAGGCGCCACCGGGGCCCAGCGGGCTGAGCGTCCTCCCGGGAGAGGCGGCCGAGGAGCCGGCGCCGCAGGTAACCGTGAGCGGCCCGAGCCTCCGCTTTCTCCTCGGGCGGCGGGCTCGGTAGCAGCCCGTCCCCAGCGGGGGGAGGTGCAGGCCCGGAAGCCCGTGCTCCCTTTCCCACGGTAGCCCGGGGTGGGGGAAGGGCGGTCAGGCCTCCCGGCAGCGAGCGCGTCTTCCTCCTCTTTAACGTCTGCGGGGCGGCCCGAAGTGGAGCGCGGCTTGTGGCCCCTGACAGCAGGCTGCCCGGGCAGAGGGCGTGGGTGCGAGTGCGGGCTCTCGGGCGGTGCGGGGCAGAGCCTCGGTGAGGGGTCAGAGCTCCTGCCCAGCGGCCCCCCCTGGATCTCAGAAGTCGGAGCTGGCGGCCCGGGCGCGGCGGCTCGGCGGTGCCCGGCCTGTCGCTGTCCCGGAGCTGGAAGGAATCACAGCCCCCCCCACCCCACCCCGGGTCAATCCACCCGGTGTGTCCCGTGTGCTCCTGGTTACTGGCGGGGATCGCAGTAGAACAGGGGTTAGAATGCGTAAGGTTTGCAAAACTGTGGACTCTAAAGGATCGCAGCGGGCCTGAAGCCCAGATCTTTACATCTGAGATTGTTTCTGCTATGCCGGGCTGCGTCTGTTAATTTTGTTGTTGTTCAGCTGTATCTGACTCTTGGTCACCCCGTGCACCATGCTGTCCTTGGGGTTTTCTTGGCAAAAATACTGGAGTGGTTTGACTTTTCCTTCTCCGGGCCTTTATCGAGCACTTTGTGCAGGCCTTGCACTGATCATTAGAGTCAGACTGAGACCCGGGAAGGACCTTAGCTTCAAAAGGCCAACGTCTCCCACTGCATCCGGAGCCACGTCCGGTCTTCTGACCTGTGTCTGGCCCCTGGACCCAGATGGCTCCGGACCTTGCACAGCCCTCCCTCACTTAAATCCGATTCACTTGTAAGTCATGGCCTCACCTTCCTGTTGTCACGGTCCTCTTTGAGGATCAACAACTCTTCCAAACCTCAGAGGGTACACATAACGAGGGAGACATCGTGTAAGCAGTTAGACAGCGTACAGAGTCTGTGAAGGTAATCTTAGAGGGAAAGTGGAGAGGGACGCGAGCCAAGAAAAGCCTCCTGCAGCAGGTGGGATTTACGCTGCATCGGAGAAAGCCAGGGAGACCAGAAAGTGAAGGTGGGGCTAGCAAGCATTCTGAGCATGAGGGAACAGCCAGTGCAAAGGAGTGGAGTCGGGAGGTAGTGTGAGATTGTGCAGAGTTCAGCAAGTAGGCCAGAGTCTCTTGATTGTAGAGTTTGTGGAAGGCAGCAAATGGTGAGAAAATTGGAAAGGTCAGAAGGGGCCAGGTTGGGTAGGGCCTTGGATGCCAAAAGAGGGTTTTATATTTGATCCTAGGAGTAAGGGTCGAGGTTGAGTGCTGACTCATGACAGTCAGGCCTGTGCTTTAGGAAACTGACTTTGGCAGCAGATCGAGGAGAAACCTGAGGCAGGGAGACCAATGAGAAGGCCACGGCCTAGCCGAGGTCCAGGAGAGATGTCAGGAACGTTTCGGAAACACTAACGCGTGAAACATTGGGAGGGTGGAAGGTTGAAGAGGACCCTGAGGAGAGAGCAGAGGCACCAGGAGTTAACGAAATACAGTCAGAACAGAGATCCCAGAGGTTAAGAGTAGAGCGTAAGGTCAGGTTGGACAGGTTCCCTGAGGAGTCAAGATAGGGAAGGGAGGAAAACCTGTGCCATTGTGGGGTGATGGTTGTGGTGAGGACAGAGAGCAGGTTTGGGGCTCCTGTGGCAGAGGGAAAGATGGAATTAGAATAGAGTATGTTCAGATAAAGGAATTGTGTCAGTCACGAGCATGAGAGTAGAGCGGTTGTGTGAGGTGGCGAATGAAGGGTGTGCCTGTCTCTGGATAAATGAGGCAGAGTGGAAGAGTAGGTCATGGGGAGTGCAGACAGTGAAGAACTGGGAAGCTACTTATCATTTGTGTGAGAGCATCCCTGTGTATTTCAGAGTTCCCTAAGACCAGGTCAGGGGAGTGGAGTTCTTTGAGCTGCGGAGAGCTGTTTCATAGCCCACGTGTTGTCTCCTTTCCCAAGCAGTGCGCCATGTTGGAAAGAACAGCTTTACAGTGAGCGCCTTCTGTGGGCAAGGAAGGTATAAACCATGAAAGCACTTAGGAAAGTCTCTGTGGAAGGTTTATGAGATGTGTCTTCTTCCTGTGACTGAGGGTGGTACTGGAGAGCCCTTGGCTTGTAGCTGGAGGCCCTCTGTTACTGCTGACTAATTGGCCCCTTTCAGTCTGATCTGGGGCTCAGTTTTTATGTGTCAAATGAGGGAGTCTGAGGTCAATTCCTGCTATAAAATCTGTGAATCTTTTATACGGGAGGCATCTTATCCTCGTTTGAGAGATAAAGAAATACTCAGGTTAAAAATAGCTCACGGTCACATTCTGTTTTCAGACTTGCAAAGCACTTTCCTCATAATAATTCTGTGGAAAAAAACAAAGTAGATATTCCAATTTTACGAGAGGAAAAACTGAGGCCCCCAAATCACCTCAGTTTGGGAAAGTGACTTTTTCGGGGTCACACTGCTAGTAACCAATAGTCTGGGTTCCCTAGACTCATACAGTTTTGAAGTCATCGATCTGAAAGGGGCCATCTGGATCACACAGGCCAGCCTGCATTTTACAAATGAGGAAACAAGCGCAGAGATATAATGAATGACCTGCTGGAGATCACACAGTTAATTGGCAGCAGAGCTAGGGCCAAGGGACCATGACAAGTGGCTATTCTGAGCCAGCCCTAGTGTAAGGCCAAGTGAGCCTCAGAGAAGAGTCTGACTAGGGAGGGGCCTTGGGGAATGATCCCTGTGCTCGGAATGCACGGTCAGGGTTGGAGGGAATCCCATCCAAAGTGGTTTTTTTGTGCAGCGGTGCAGTGAGTGAGTGAGCATTCATCAAGTGCTCCCCAAGTAGTGAGGATACAAGAGTGAATGGTGTGGTCTTCGTGGAGCTGCGTTCCTACTGGGGGATGCAGTCCTTCCAAGGAAGCTCAGCTGCAGCACAGATAGATAGATGGGCCTGCAAGTGCAAGACCCAGGGGGCTGAGGCTGCAGAAGTGGGGCAGGGGAGGGGCCAGGGCCTATGTGGACCTGGATGGCAGGGGGCACAGAGGGAAGGGTACTCCTGTTGGTCCTCCTTAAACTTCGAGGTTAAGCCCTCACCTACCCACAGAAATGACTTAACCAAAAGCCTTTCTTGATTATGTAAATTACTTGTGGCTTGTTTCTGCATTTTATTTCTTCTGTGCTCAGGGTCACCCAGCTACTAAGTGTCTGAGGCCAGATTTGAACTCGGGAAGATGAGTCTTCTGACTCCAGGCCCAGCACTTTTTCCAGTGTCACCTAGCTTCCCCTTTACATTTTATTTAGGACAAGCCAAAAAGTAGCTTATGTGGATAGGTCAGTTGTAAGCTAAAGAGTAAAACATAAGTTGTAATATTGACTAGTTGTGTTATTTTGAAATTAATGGACAGAAAGGGCCATCAGAAATATAAATTTCTCTAGAAGCAGGAATTAACAATGTGGAATTAAGCTGTGTGGAATGAATCCATTCCTTGTAAAAGTCTGGTGTGATAATTTTCCCCCCTTAAATAATGGTACAAAATTTTTGGTAGCCCGGATCAGAGAATTTGTTTTAATAAAAAACAATCGAGCGTTTTTTTCTATAGTTCTGGGAGAAATGTGAGTGATATGCTTTTGCCAAACAGGGATCGGTATTACTTCTGGGAGGCAACGAAGTGAAGAGTAGGGCTGTGGTGAAGTATTCGTCTGCCCCTCTCCGCACCGCTTTTGCCCGCCTTGAGGAGAAAACGGACCTAAAGCTTCCACCTGCCAACTGGCTGCGGGAAAGTGCCAAACTTGGCCCAGCAGGAACCACCATTCTGGGCAACAGTAAGAGGAGCAAACCCTTTTCCAGGTAAGCCAGCGTCCGATATGTACTGGACTTTGCCTTTCTCTCTGTTCTTGCTGAGACTTTACATATCTGTAGTGACAGTCAGCCTGGAAGCAGAGATGATGCTTTGTCTTTGGACCCTTTAAAAAGGTACCTATGAAAGGGTCAGATTAATATTATGTTTATCATCTGTAGAATTTCCACAGGATTCTTCATAATGCTGAGTTTGGATCTTTTTGAGCAGCCCTTGGCTCTTCTGAAATGCTGAGAGTCCTGCAGTCACCTCTTGCTCTTAGCCGTTGGTTATCTGTAAATGTAAACCCTTAACACCTCATCTCTCTCTGAGTAAATGGAGCTAATATTTGCATAAAACTTGGAAACTTGTAGGGGTAGACTTAAATGACTGGGGGTTGGGCTGTGTCCATAGGCCTAAAGTGACATGCTTTACAGTAACATTAGGCATCTTTACAGATCCATGTTAGTGTTTGCTAGAAATTCTGCTGATTGTGGAATGACAGGATAGATATTTAAAAGCTGGAAGATGCTTAGAAATGATCACTGGTCCAGGTCTCTCTTTTTACGTGACCCAGCTGAGGCCCAGAGAGGTGATAGCAAACACTCTTGCTTTCAGTCCTGTGCCTTTTTGGCTTTCCAGCATGGCTGCTCTTCTGTATGTCTGTTGGGCCTGCTGTCAGTACTCTGAGATCTGTGCTGGTGTCAGGGTGGGGCCTCGCCTCAATGCTCACCACAGCTCCACTGCTTGGTAGATGGCCTCTGGCCAAGGGTGGCGCTGCTGCCACTGAACCAGGCTGAGGAACGTGGAGCTATTCGTCCGCTTATCGCCTTTCTCAGGTGCCGTGAAAGGGCATTGTGGATCTGCCTAAAGTCTCTGTCACGCAGAGGAGTTTGAATCCATGGCTTCAGTGTTTCGTGCTTATTTTGCGTTCATAAACGCCTCAGAGTTGAGAATTTGAAGGAAGTAGGGCGCTGGGCCCAGCCTCTCACTTACAGATGAAGAAGCAGACTCATAGAGGTCACGCAGAACACAGCGAGGATTCAAACCCAACTCCCTGATTTTAGAGCCGTCATTTATAGTCCTTGTTTATTGGGATGACTCCTATCTGGAGGCTTATTTCTCTTTTCATTGAGTCAGTGAGTCAAGGGAGCCATTCCTCTGAACAGAGACGGCACTGGCTTTGGAGTCCAAGGCCTTGGGTGCAGATGCTGTCTGTTACAGGCACCATCTTGAACAAGTCACTTCACTGTCTGTAGACTTCAGTTTCCTCATTGGTAAAAAGAAGGAATTGGATTAGGAAATACATGATCTCTGAGGTTCCTCATAGGTCTAAATCCTGTGAGCTTCTACCTTGGGAGGCTGCTGGTACCTGTGGGGGATGGGGGGCTGGGCCACTTTGACGCCCACCCCTCGGTTATGCCAGGAAAGTCACTCCTAATTGTGGCTACTAGGTATGGTCCTAGACGTGTTACAGCTTGAAGAAATGGGAGGAGGACAGACAGGAAGGTTGACAAATCTTATTCAAAGGCTGTGAGTCAACTGTGTACAGCATCCCTTTTAAAAACGAGTCATTTACCGAACCACATCCTTTACGTCACTTGGCTATGCTTAAAATTGTGAAATGGGGACAGTTCTCAAGATCTTTAAGTCCTTAATATTTCCACAATGTTGAAAACATGGGCTAATCAATATGTTCATTTCTTTATCTTCTGACATCTGTTCCCAACATAGACTTGCCAGGCTGGGAGGTGATTTCATCCAGCCCCCTCATTTTACGAAGGAGGAGCTGAGGCTTGGGGATTGAGTGATTCACCCAAAGTCATGTAGCTAGTAAGTCTCAGAAGTAAGACTGTATCTTGTATCTTCCTGAGTCCATTGGCACTTAACAGATGAGAAACCCAAGTTCCAGAGGTTAAGTGGCTTGGCACAGCTCATTAGTGCTGGAACCAAGACTAGAACCCAGATATGATTCTAACTCTGATAATCTTGCCGCAGCATAACTGCTGAGTTAGGATAATGAAATAACAAAATTACTTACTCTTAGAATTGGCTCAGGATCACTGTTAAGTGCGCTATGAACTATTTGGTGATTTCTTCATTTCTGCATCGATGGAGCTAAAAGACCACCCACCAGATGTTGTTTTGGTGTTCTGCTCTGTTTTTTTCCCTGCACCAAAAATTAAATATATTTAGTTGGTTGCTTCCTTGTCCACAAAGTGGATTTTAGAATTTTAGAGGAAGGGAACAGGCAGTTATTAAACTTCTACTGTGTGCCAGGCCCTGTGCTAAGTGTTTTACAGATGTCTCATTTGTTGAGTTTTATAATCATAACAATATTAAACAGAGTAATTTTAGTGATTTAAAACTTCACCCCAAATAAGTCTCCTAAAACAGGGATTCTTAACTTTTTTTGCATCAAGAACCGCTTTGATAGCCCTTTGGCAGTCTGGTGAAGCCTATGGGCCCCTTTTAAAAATACGTTTTTAATTAAAAAGGGTGGGGGAGGCAGCTAGGTGGCATAGTGGATGGAGCACCGACCCTGAAGTCAGGAGTACTTGAGTTCAAATCCGGCCTCAGACATATAACGCTCACTAGCTGTGTGGCTCTGGGCAAGTCACTGAACCCCAATTGCCTCACTTTAAAAAAAAAATACACTTTTAAAAACTTATAATCGAAGGAAATGCTAAATTTCGGTTAAAGCACAATGAAAATAAAGGTGTGATTTCCTCCCGCCCCCAACCTCATGGACCCCTGAAATCTATCCATAGACTTCATGGATATCAAGTTGTGCTCCCTTTTAATCCATGGTTTCTTTCTCTCTGAAAGCTTTGGTATGGCGTATGACTTCATTGACTCTGTTGGAAATGATGTGGACGTGGTATCTGATTCGGAAGTATGTACCCACCATTGCTCGTCCCTTGATAATGTCAGTCTTTAAAGTTGGCTGATCGGGAGTTGGTCTGGTTGATCTGCCCTATGGGCAGGGGAATTGGGAGTGGGGAGACTTTAGTGCATGGGGAAGTGGAGCCTGGGTTTAGGATCTTTGTGGCCTATAATTCTTACCGTTTTTGAAAATTTCGACAGGTTAAAACAACAGCAAAAAAAAGATAAGTACATACCCATGTGAACATGGTTAATATAGCGCCTTATATAATAATTTCCTGATCCTGCTTTTCAAAGCTTGGGTGTCTTAAGTGTAGCTTTTGATAGAAAGTATTTATTTATTTGTACATAAAGAAACTCAGCTGGGTTGTTGTAATTTAAATGAAAGCTAAGACAAGAATTTCTTGCTACATTGGTATTTTTTGTTTTGTTTTGTTTTTCTGTTCTAAGAACATAAAAAAGCTGCTAAAGATCCCCTATAGTAAGTCCCATGTCAGCATGGCAGTCCATCGCATTGGAAGGACTCTTCTTTTGGATGAACTCGATATTCAGGAACTCTTCATGAGATCATCCCAGGTAAAATGGTTATAGGAAAACCAGCTGTCATCTTTGTTAAGATGTTTATTAATGTGTTTTCAAATGTCATCTTTGATTAGGATGCGTTAGTTTCAGTATTGTAAAGAAAATGTTGATTCTCTAATATTTTGATATAGCAAAATGTACTTGGAAAGATCTGTATTTGCATCTTTATGGGTACATTTACACTATCAAGGCAGATTATAACCTCTCCATGCCTTATTCTGAGCAATTCTTGCCTTTACTTTCCCGTAAGTCCTTCACAGAGTGTCCATCTAGTGCTCTGAAAACCTTCCTTCTGTTCTTCTAATATCTCTGGAAGTACCAGAATGGCATTCAAATTGTTCCTTCTGCTGTTTTTTGTTCTTGCTACGTGACCAGCCTGTCTCCTTCATTCTCCTAAGTTTTGGTCTTAGAAACCCTTTATCATTGAAAAAATTATTGAGGATCCTCAAAGAGCTTTGTTTTGGGGGATTATGTCTATCAATATTTGCTGTATTAGAAATTAAATGTCTTAGTATTATTGTGAAAATAGTTTCAACCTCATGGACCCCCTGAAAGGGCCTCAGGGGCCCCCAGAGTACACTTTGAAAACCACTGTACCAGACGAAGCTTTGTGAAGATGGGGACTGGATCCTATTTTAACTTTAAATCTTCACATAAAGGTCTTTCTGTTCAGTAGGCACTTAATTATGTTTTTTGAATTTAGTCAGGAATACATATTTTTCATCATCTGTCCGGTGCTTAGCACAGTGCGTGGCATTTAATAAATGGTTGCTTAATAAATGTAGATTGACCGACTGCCTGTATTGTACTCACTTACAAGTCATTGTTAACATATTGTAGCCGGTTTATGGCACTGTTTGTCTTCATCTGCTCTGCTGCTCTACCCTAAGGCCTGTGGGGTCTTTACATGTGAAACTGCCTATCTGTGTGGTGCTCCCTTCCTAGAATGTGAGCTGGAGACCAGAGATTATCTTCATCTTCTGTTTGTCTCTCTAGTGTTTAGTAACAGTGCTTTGCACATGGTAACTCCTTAATACAGTGTTTAATTCATCCATTCATTTTGTAACTAAGTCTTCTGACATCGTTGTATTCTATGATACAGTCATATGGTGCTAAGTAGTTTTGCCGAGATGAGCAGTTTGGAATAATGAAAGGGCTCCAATCAGTCAGTCCACATCTGTAAAGCACCTACTATGTGCCAGGCACTTCCTAAGTGCTGAGGATACAAAAGGAGGCAAAAGACAGTCCCTATCCTCAAGGAGCTTACAACCCAGTGGGAGAGATGACATATAAACAGATCTATACAAAGCAAGCTGTATTCAGAATAAACAGGAACTATTGACAGAGGAAAGAGGCTAGAATGAAATGGGGCTCAGGAAGGCTTCCTGAGATAATCCAGAGCAGACCTCTGTAAGAACACCGACCCATTTCCTGTTGTGTCCATCTGTTGTCCTCTGGCTTCAGTAGATTGCCACGCCGAACCAGCTGTGATAGAGCTCTCTCTTCTCAACTGCTTTTGGGCATTTTATCCAGTGATATCCTGCTCTGTGTGTCCACGTGTCCATCTGTCTGTCCATCTGTCCTCCACAGTGGTTGGCAGTTATTTAAATTGCTGTCTTCAGAAAGGACATTCGTTTAAATTATCAGTATTCTGTAAGGGCATGTTTATTAAGTAATATCTAAGAACAGATGTTTCCCATCCTCTAGAGAAGGGATCTGTGACCCATTATTTGACCAGATTTTATGGCAGTGTTTAATGCCTTCTGATATTACTCAGACAGGAGACTGGACGTGGCTCAAGGAGTTCTACCAGCGGCTCATTGACCAGAAGTGGCAGCGAAAGAAGAAAAGCAAAGAGCATTGGTACCAGAAGGCGATTCTCTCCAAGTTCTTATATTACAGGTACTCAGCGCCACACTTTATCCTTCCTAAATAAGGAATCTCTGGCTTAAGGCAGTCTGTATCTGTTGACACTAGTGAGATGGCATTGCATGTATTTAAACGTTGGGGTTTTGTGTTCATACAAAGTTTTGAAAGTTTGCTTTGAGCATTTTAGCTGTGGCTGAATATTCACAAGAGACTCCCTGTCCTTGGCCAGACAGTTTAGCCTTGTCAGCAGGGAGCATTGGGACGTCCTGTCAGTGCCCTGGGCACCATTCTTGGATGGTGGCGCTCAGGCATCTGGCTTTGTGTTTCAGCATTAATGGCGATGGTGCCGCTCAGCCTGTCCCCTCTGCGGCAGAGCCAGGAGTCCCTCCCAGCCCGGGTCAGACACATGACGACACAGAAGGGGCTTCCTGGCCCGCCCCTTTTGAGATGCCATCTTCTGTTTCTGATGATCCAAGTGCGTCTAATCAGGTCAGTCAGCCAGCACATCGGTGCTCACTTGTGGCAGAAAATAAAAGGGATGAAAACTGAAGGGCTGGAGAGAAGGATGCACCGCTTTCCCTGGGACTGCGGATTTGAAGGAACAAGGACCCTTTTGTCCACTTAGCCTCAATTGCTGGGTTTCTAGAGCTCCTGTGGAGACAGAATTAGAATTGCAAATCCAGTTAATACACAGAAGTTTCCTGTATTTTCTTAGTCTCCCTATCACCTGTGGGACTCCAGGCAGCGGTGAATCTGTGGGTAGTGGGTTGTCTACCTCATGGATTGTTTGAATTCTCTGTTTGGAGCATGTAGGGGTACTTAGTCAATGATGCGACTTGCTGACCGCATCCAGCACTTGGCTGACCTGCCCAGCCTGACCATTCTTCGTGTTGGCCTTGTTTAGGGACCCCAGGTAAATAGCAGAAGCACCCATCTCACTTTCCTCCAGGCTCGAGGCAAGAGGAGATGAACACTGAGGCTCAGGGCCTTTTTGTGTGTCTCCTTTTCAGTTTCTGGCTTCCCCTTTACCTCCTTGTCTTGGGCTTTTCACGTTCTTGTCCCTGTTTAACAAAGAGGGGGGTGCCCCCATGAGTGGTCAGATGGCCTATTCCATTTAGTCTCGGACAAGTGTTGACAAGCTTAGAAGAACAAAGGCCAGAGAAGTGGGTGAATTTATGTGGGCATTTTCATTTTCTTTCATCACAAATTTAACAGCATTTGACCATTTTATGTCCTTTTATTAAATGAAGTATTACTGAAGACCAGTGACTTTAAACATTTTCACATTCTTAATTAATTCTAAACCATCTTATAATTCAGTCCAGTAGCATTATGCGGGGATATTTAGTCATATTATCCTTTTAATGCATTCATTTGAATGCTCCAGCAGGGCTGAGGTGTCCCTCCTATGCTGACCAGGTCTCTTTGAGGAAGCCTCCGGCATGTTATCACAGGCAAGAAGATTCTCTATCCAAGTCTACTCTAGTCCCTTTGGACCAAAACAGAATGATTGTAACAAGTTCAGAATCTCAGAAATTTAGCATAATTTGTTCTTATAGTTTCAGCCAACTGAGATGTCTTCCTTGTCAGATTTAGAAATAGAGGATGACCCTTATGTGTGTGTGCCAATATACTATTAAGTATAACAAGTCAAAAGTGTTTTGTCTTTTTTTAAATTTAGAGTGGGTTTTTTAAAAGCAATTTAAAGCATCTCAAGGAAATGCCTCACATAATGACATTCCTGTATTTGTTACCTAAAATTAAGAAAAGTAAGCTTAGAACTATTTGATAAATACAGGCAGTGTCCTTATAACTCCCTGCTTACAAATGACCCTTAATGTACCCCTGGCCTATCCCCCTCCTCTATGGCAGTGAAGTTCCCTTTCCCACTTGGAAGTGTCTTGTGATGAAGCCTAAAAGCCAAAGAGTCAGAAATAGGTGAAGGGAAGAAGCTGTGGAAGGTGGGGAGAGTTGGGGGAGCAAGTGCCAGGCAAGACTCCCTGGCACAGCTGCCCTTCTCTGCAGGGCTCCCCACCACGTAAACATCTCCCCGTTTGCTAAAAGGGTTGGCATCACTGTGCTGCTCTGCCAAACGTGCCGTCAGGCAGCCGGGCATTCCCTAATCAAGATGCAGCTAGCTTTGGGAAGATTCAGGAGCAGTACCTCTTATTAGTAATCTGACTGCATTGGGCACTGGGCATTGTGAGATGAGGCAGTAGGCAGTGGCCCCGGGGTGGGGGCCACCAAGAAGGGTTGGCATGGGAAGATGCCCAAGAATGTGCTGGGGGTGAATCTGCACTCAGGAGGGAAGAAAGCTCCTCCTTTTCTGTTTTCTCCTTGTTCCCAAGTCATGTGAGCCGTGGACCCAGAAGTTAGGGCTGTCATAATAGAGATCAGCTACAACAGGGGTGGAGAATCTGTGGCCTCGAGGCCTCAAGCACGGCCCTTTGAATCTAAACTTCATAGAACAAATCCTTTTATTAAGGGGATTTGTTCTGTGATTAAAAGGATTTGTTTTGTGAAGTTTGAATTCAGTCAAAGGGCCATTCTTGAAGACCTGAGAAGGCCACATGTGGCCTCAAGGCCGCCGGTTCTCCACCCCAGAACTGCAGTGTGTATTTATTCAGTAGTCTCCATTGACTAGCCTGGAGCCTGTCATCCATGGGAAATGGTTCTGTTCTCCAGACATATCTATAGGACACACAGCGTAACCAAATATACTCCGTTCTATATTATGCCTATTAGAGAGAGAGAGTGGGTAAGAAGACCTGGCAGGTGGGGAGGTCCATGCACACCCAGCTGCAAAGACCCACCTTCGGGACGTGTACACTGAGCAGGCTCTGGGTCTGACCACAGTCTGAATTAATGGTGCCACCTCCTGGGTGAGCAGAGTGAGGCCGATGGCCAGATTTGTCCTGTGAACCAAGAGGTTTCTTCCTCATCCTGCACACAGTGCAGTCAGTCACGCAGGCATGAGCGGGCTTCTCCCGCCGTTGCTTGGGCTTCTTTCCTTATGTGAGTCCGTCCTTTTGGTCAGGCCATCGGGTCAATGAGAAAACAAAAAACTGGACCTTAAAAGTGAGCTTTTGATGTTTTTAAAAAGGCAGTGAACCTCACTTGAGGAGGTTCCGGTCTTGTCCTCCTATCAGTAATTTTGGTGTGAGTCATTGCGGCTGTGGTGCTGGGGTGCTGCCCTGGCCCCTGGGGTAAAGATGCCGTGATGGGGGTGTTGGGGCTCCAGATAGACTTGAGGATTGTACTGCTTTGTACTTGGAATGTTTGGCTTAGTGTACGTGAAAAGTAGGCGCTTTTTTATGATGACAGCAGAATCACTCCTTATCCTTGCACTTTTCACAGGGAAGTGAGCCTCTTGAACCCTCATATATAGTGGGGCATGTGACCTCAGCCCCAAAAGAACAAAACCTGACTACTTTATTCAATGACGGTGAGAACAGTCAGGTATGCTTTCTGTGGTATCTGAGCTCAAAGACCTAATTCTCAATTTACTTGATCATTTAAAAGTTGGTCTCAATTGGAATCAGTAGGGAAAAAAGTCCATTTACTTCTTGAAATAGCTTTTTGTAGCATCTGTGATATTTAAATTACTGTGACTGTATAGTATAGTTTCTTTGTTCTTTTCTTCTTCATCTTTCTTTCATAGTCTTTCTGTGGATCATAGGTGAAAATGTGGTGCACGTAGGTGAAAAATTCTAATTTAGTGATTTTCTTTTTTTTTTTTTTTTCCCTAAACAAAGGGTCTTAAGAATGACTTTGTTCGGAATATCTTGTGGACCTTTGAAGACATACACATGTTGGTGGGCTCAAACATGCCCATATTTGGGGGAGGACGGTATCCTGCCGTTAGCTTGCGCCTCAGGTAAGCGGAAAGTTGCTTCCCTCTCTCGATAGCCTTTGTGCATTTTTTTTTTTTTTTTTTTACTGTATAGTCCCCGTATCATTGTGAAATTTGCTTCAGTGTCTTATACTGAGGAAGTTACAAAGTCATGGCAAATGCTGTGGACTGCCAGGAAATCTGTCTTCTCCACTTATTAGCCAACAGATTTCTGGACTCAGTAAGAGGAGTAACCAGACCGGCTCGGAGCCTGTGAAAGTCATGGGAAGTCATATATGGCAAACCACTTTGGAAACTGCCAAGTGCCTCGAAAATGTACTGGATCACTGTGATTGATAGACTTGTTTTGTGGCACTGAGAAGTACGATGACTGCCCCTTTTGTTTTGTTGTTTTCCCGGTTTAAGCTGCTGCAAAAAGGAACCAGGGTTTCCAACCTATGCTGAAAATCCTTTAAGCTCTCTATTTAGCATGGGAGTTTGGGGGGCTGGCCGCTGGGGAGAAAAAACTTTTGTCTTGGTCTCGAACCTAAATCTCAGACTTTTGGTGATGTAGTTAGTAGGCAGAAATATTTAGCTGTTATTTGAGAAGGCCTTCCCTGGGTAAGTATTTGAGAACTCTTCTCGGTTAACTGAGAATATTTAGCCATCGCACAAACCCAGCCAGCTTGTGTTCTGGCGTAGACAATCTACGTGTGCTGGATTGTGTGTGACGCTTGTCCTGGACTTACTAGCTCTCTGCTGCAACGTTTCGTTCGGATGCTAACTGTAAGCACCCTCCTCTGCCCCGTTTTTAAGCTCAACACGAGTCAAGCTTCTAGGAATGTGCCGACTCAGTCTGCTGACCCGAGGATTGTTTATTTTCAGGGATAACAACAAACCAATTAATGTACTGACTGGAATTGATTATTGGTTGGACAACTTGATATGCAATGTACCTGAGCTGGTGATGTGTTTTCATGTAAATGGAATCGTACAGGTACGGGAAAATGCAAATATCTGTTTTTTTCATTGCCTGTTAGTATGGAACACCAAAGTAGAGAGGGGTTTGCATGATATTCCAGGAGAGGAAATCTATACTAAATAAAAGTAATGTTCAGGAGGAAACTTGAGTGTTTGTGAATCTTTAATTGGCGGTGGTGATGTTGTGTTTTAAAATGGCAGGGAAAGGGAGCAACCCAACATTTTCAGGAGGGCCCTGAGGGTCGTAGAGCTCAGGTTTGTTGCCATTGGCTCCTGGCGTTTACTAGAAGCCTTGTGTGGTTAGAACTCAGGCAGAGGGGCTGCTCTTGTTCTCATTGTGTAGGTGAGGAAACTGAGGCTCACTGCCCACAGTCACACAGCAAGGAAACGTTTGGGGCCAGATTTCACCCCAGCTCTTCCTGACCCCAGGGCCAGCATTCACTGCAATCTCTAGGTCTTCTTCAGGCAGGCTGCTTTCTGGCCACCCTCCCCTCCTTGTAGTCGTGAAGTGCATGTTCTTCCATTCAGTCCTGTGCTAGAACCCGGGTGTGTGTTAGCCGCCCCTCCCAGGTGTGTGTCCTCTGTCGCTTGAAGTGTGCCTAGGTCATTGGTGGTCCCATGAGGCAGCCCTGAGCCAGTCAGCAAGCATTCAAGCGCCTACCATGTGCCACACTCCGTGCTTGGCTCTGGGGAAAGAGACAAAGAAGCATAGGGCCCCACGGCCTCCTTTCACATGGACGTTGAAGTATTGATAGCGGCTTTTGGGCTGCAGTCCTTCAGCAGGTTCGAATCTAGTGCCGTGTTAGTCATCACCCATGTTAGTCATCATCATCTCTCTCCCCCTCTTCTCCACGCTTCTCAGTGGCTCCCTCTTGCCCCTCCTTTAAAAGTACCCCTGGGATCTGCAGTTTTCCCTTGTGGCTCATCCAGAGGCTGTACCTGCACAAGTCTTCTGCTCCCAAGGTTTTCTCCTAAACCTAGTCCTTCGTCTTTACCTTGATAGAAATATGAAATGATCAAGACAGAAGAGATTCCCAATTTGGAAAACTCCAATTTTTCTACTAAAGTGATAAAAGATATTGCACAAAATATTCTGTCATTCCTGAAATCCAATTGCACCAAAGAAGGGCACACCTACTGGCTGTTTAAAGGTAAACCAGTTACTGGGATGGCTCAGACCTGAGTGGCACCGTCGTTTGGGTGGCAGAGCCTTGCAAAGCGTCGGGGTCTCTCTTTCAGCCAGCGGCAGTGACATCGTCAAGCTCTATGACCTCACCACCCTTTGTGAAGAGACTGAGGACAAATACCAGAACCCCTTCACGGTGCCTGTGGCCATTCTCCTGTACAAGTGAGTTGGGATGCGTTTCTCGGGGAGGGGGCGCCAGGCCGTCCAGACTCAGACAGGAGCCGTGCCAGGGTGGGGGTGGCTCCCACGGAGTCGTCTTGGCCAAACGTCTGTGTGTGGTGCTGTGTTCTTTTGTAGGGTTGCTTGCAACATGATGATGAAAAAAAACCAAAATAAGAAACACTATGGAACGATCAGAACATTGCTTCTTAATTGTCTGAAATTACTGGACAAGGGAAGACACCCTCAAGTAAGATTCTATTTTATACGTGCTTTAAAATCGTGCCTTCAGAGCTCTGGGCTGTGTGGATCACCTGGAGTCATCCTGAATGTGTTTAGTCAGCATGGGGAGAACAAGGGACGTGGGGGCCTTTGTTTTGTTTGGAACTGTGTCTCCTTTTTAAGAACGCCCCCAGTTAGTCTGAATCATTCAGATATTGGGGAAGTGAGTAGGTGTATGATAAAGTATTCTGATGGGGTGGGTTTGCCAGGCGTTCTCAGTCCACATTGATTCTTACTGTGGTCATTTCTGATTGCGGATGCTTGAGAACCCGAGGTCAAGATTGATGGAGAGGTGACAAGGTACTGTCCTATGTAAATGTCTCACGCAGTTCATTGAGCAGAAAAATGGGACATTTTTGTCTTTCATTCTCCCATTCTCTGGTTTCACACCAGTCATCTGGCCTTTCTTGGCGTTCAGAACCTCCTTATTGCCAGGCCCTTTGGGAAGGCGCTCCATTACTGTAGAGACGTGCCAAGAAGGGATAGATGAGGCTAGCAAGTGGATCAAACCTCCAAGAGTGGACGTTACTTACTGTCCACTTTCCAGAACCGTGGACCAAGGACAAACTAAAATGCCCTCATTTTTTCAGGTTGGGCTCTCACTAAATCTTGGTGATTGTAAGGAGAAATTCCAGCATCTCCCAATGGGGCCCAGTGAGAAAAGTGCTTCAGGAGCTAAGGGCCAAACAGCTCGCAGCCCATGTCTGTGTGTGGCCTTTTACAAAGTGTTTTCCTCAGTAAGGGAAAAAACCTCAAGCCATTAATGAGTTGGTATAGGAATTCTCTCCACTTTGTGCAGAAAACGAGATAACTTTGCCTTGCCTTAAAATGGACGGTATTGTACATTCCAACACCAGTGTAACAGAGAATCTTTCTCGTTTTCTGATGCATAGATATCAGTCTCTAAGGATTTTTAAACATCCTCAGTTATTGGTAACAAGAGATTATTTTGAAGAATTGGTACATTTTTGGCATGGAGAATTTTGGGTGGCTTTTAGAGAACTTCCCTCTCTGTAATACTTTTTCAGTTTCTCTGATGATACTAGTGAGAGCCTTCATTTGGTTCTGGTCTGTGTCTAAGCCTGGTCATCCCCCTTGAGCTGGATGGCTCCTGATCAGCCTCTGCCTTAGGCTGTGTGTGGAATGGGGCTCGTTGGCAGGCATTTCCTTCTAAACCTTGAACCAGTAGCAGCAGCGTTGGCCATTGGCTTTATTAGGATGGTTTCAATTCACCATAGTCACTTATCCCTATTTCTCTGTTTCTTTTTTGTTAAGATTATTGCTTCGGCCAATTACATGCTTTCCGAGCTCTTTCAGTTGGATGAACCTAAAAAGGAAGAGAGTTCAGGGTCTCCTTTAAATGAGAACTCTGATGAAAGCTACAGTGAGGAAGAGGAGGAGATGCCAGACAGTGATGAGAATGGGTCCTACGGCGCGAGCTCCGACCCCCCTGACGACAAGAAAGCCGTGGCCGTGATTAAGTCTGTGGGAGAACTGTCAGTACCTGAGAAATACAAATCCATTCATCAAATCCGAGTGAGCCATTGTTTGAGTGATAAAGATGCTGGTGCAGTTGGGTAACGTTAAAAAAAAAACAACTGGTTAAATAGTTGTTCTTAACTTTAAACTGCTTCACTGTCCCTTAGGTTTACTTAACCAGATTTCAGCTTGAAGACAGCTGACCCCCCCCCCCCCCCCAAGTCTTCTCTTCTCCAGGGAACCCTTCCTGGTTTGTTTAGCTCCTTCTCCCCTTCCCATCCTGGATGCCCTTGGGCACACAATTCACCTTGTCTGTTTTATCCTGGTCTGTGGCTGGACCAGGGCAGAATAGGACAGAGCTCTTAGCTCCCTCCCTCTTTTTCACCCTGGAATTCAGCCTTGGCTTCAGGTTACCTGGTCACCCCCTTGACCCCGTGAGCTCGTGGTTGATTAAAAACCCCCCTTTCACAGGATCTGCTGGGTCATTGACCACGTTTATTCCATCTTGCATTGGGAAATTGGGTTTGATTTTTTTTCTCTCAATCTGAAGTTTAGAACATAACCTCTTTATCCGTATTATTATTAAATATTATTTTCTTGTTTACTTGACTCGTCTTAGTTTACTGAGGTCTTCTTTGGATCTGGACTCTTGCCTTCCAGTGTGTGTGTTATCTCGCCACACTTCATGTTATCTGAAAGAAGTCCCATGTGCCTTCTTTCTATCTTTCATTTTTTATCAAGTCATTGATAGAAAAGTTGGGTACAGAGACAGGACAGGTGAGCACTGACCCATTAGTTCTATTAATGTGCTGTCAGTACTTTTAACCCTCAATCTTCTAACCCTGAGAAAGTGTCTTAGTTTATAGGCTGTACTTAAAGGTTGAATGGTGACTTAAGACTAAAATGCAAAGACTTAAGTTATTCCTGTCATTAATTGTTTTCCTTGAAAATTTTATGAAGTTGCTATTACTGTAATGACAGCCACGTAAGTTTGTTCAATTTTTTAAAAACTGATCTTTTAAAATCTCTGGTTTCAGAAGTTGCTTATTAGCTCTTTATCGTTCAGGAATTCCATTAGTACAACAGTTTGAAGGTTTGACAACAGTGAAGGTTTAATTAAGAATTCCTAACAAAGATAGAGTCTTGCGCTCCACGTGTGACATACGAGTTATGCCCTTGGCCACGTAATTGGGGAGCGGGCTCCTGTGTGCTGCTTCGTGGTTGCTTGGAGGCTGCTCGGGGCACCTCCTCAGAGTTAGTCTAAGTCATTTGTGCTCTCTGGGCTGAGCAGACCCACTGAGGTCCTCTCTGCACGTGCTCTTAGCCTGGGCTGGGCTGACTCAGCAAGTTAGCCTTGTGGCATTAGGGAGGGCACTGTGTGCTCGGCGGGATTGTGTCCAGTGCACGTTAAGGTAACTCTCCAATTTGCCTCCTTCAGCCCAGTTGTGCATTCCCTGTCTGCCACGACACCGAAGAGCGCTGTCGGCTTGTGCTCAGCTACGTTCTAGAGGTCAGTTTACCAAGCCACCTTTAGGCTGGTGCATTTCTGCAGTGTCTGGGAGGCCATTGGGAATGCTTGGAGGGGGCTGGCAGCTGCTGTCCACGACTGATGTAAGCAGTGGACGGAGAGCCAGGAGGACCCGAGTTCAGAAACAGCCTCAGACACTTACTGGCTATGTGACCCCGAATGAGTCGCCGAACTGCTGTTTGCTTCAGTTTCCTTAACTGTAAAATGGGGTTAACAATAGCACCTCCCTCCCGGGGTGGTTGTGAGAATCAAATAAGATAAAGTTTGTAATGTGCTGCTTAGCATGGTGCCAAGCACATAGTAGGTGCCGTAGAAATGCTGATTATTCTTTTTAAGCAGAAACAGCATGTTAAGATGATTTCTTAATTTTTATTTTTAAGGCAATTAGGGTTAAGTGACTTGGCCAGAGTCGAGCAGCTAGTAAGTGTCTGAGGTCAGGTCTGAGCTCGGGTCCTCCTGACTCCAGAGCTGGCGCTCTATCTACCGCACCACCTAGCTGCCCCTGAGATCATTTCTAAACCACTACAGCCAAGAGTTCCATCGTTTTCAGCCAGTGTAGACCTGATTGGGGGTGGGGGCGGGGCATGGGCGGGCGCACGCAGAAGCAGGTCATCCTGTTCATCCCATAGCTCAGGTCTTCTGTTTACACCTCATATTTAGTTGGCCTTAAAATTAAATGCACGCTCAGTGCTTTTCTTTCTTTCTCTAAGGGTCTAAAATCTGTGGATGGCAGCATCAAAAAGGAAAGTGACCTTCCTGCCGCTGACCCCAACACCCCGATTCCATTAAAATATGAAGATGAATCAACCGGCGGTGGTCCCGAGTGTCTGGAAAAGCAGATGGCCTTATTTTTGGGCAAAAGTAAGCTGGATTGATGTGCAGATAAGACCTTTGGAATGGCGCTGCCCTTGTAACACCCAAGTAAGGTTGAAAAAAGAGTATCCCTCAAACAGGACAGGAAAGCTTTTCATTCCAGATGTGAGAAGAGGGAGCCAGGTTCTTCCTGCCAGTGTTGGGCGCTTTTGGAGGCCCTGAAAGTCATCCCCTCAGCTTTCTGTTGCTGCTTCTTCATTAATTAAGTCATTTAGGAATCAGAGAATCTTGGTTGGGAAGGGGTCTGGGGCCAAGGAGGCAGGCCCTGTTTAACAAGAAATCCCACCAAGGAGTGGACCCCCCTCAGGGAGGGAAGGGGCCCTGCTTCCACTGGAGGCGGTGCACCCAGCTTGACCGACCTGGGGGTACGGAGCTTGAAGACAGCTCCCATTTTCCCTGAGTTTTCTTCTATTCAAGCTCCTATCGTCGCTGTCCTGGGTTAGGGGGCGCACCTCAGTAAGAGGCGGTGCCGGTCATGTAGATAAAAGCTAAGAGCTGGACATCAGCTCTGCAGCCAGAACGTTTGCTGATGCTTTTGCATCAAGGTCTCCCCTGGCGCTCGTCTCTTTCCTCCTTTGCCCCCTGCCGTCAGATACCTGGCTGCTGCCCCCTTCTCCCCGCCCCCAACCGTGTCGGCCCTTCCCTGGGGCGCACCACTCCACTCAGTTTTGAGCCGCCGCCTGGCATCGAGGTATCCTGACTGAAGCCAGGGCAGCTGTCTAGTCTTAGGCCGTTCTTGACATCTCCTGCGGCTGTGCGGCATGAACATCTTGTCATCTGCCCTGCTGCCCCCTGTGCCTCCTGGGCTTTGCTCAGAGAAAGTAATCCAACGATACTGCCGTCCAAAGTGAAACTGCTGCCTCGGCTTCTTGTACTTGTGTCCCCTGTGCCTGGCGTGGGGCCTGGCTCCAAGGGGCTGACCCATCCGTGCTGGCACTGAGGGCTGCCCAGAGCCCCAGGAGGTGACACAGCTGGTGAAAGTGTCCTAGGCAGGACTTGAACCCAGGGCTTTCTGTCTTTGGGTCTGGCTCGCTGTCCACGACACCAGTGGTGCCAAACTCAGACTTAGATTATCTGTGTTTTATCGTGTTTTCACTTTGTTAGACATTTTCCAGTGACCTTTACATATGGTTCCCAGACATCTTTGCATGACGCCATCCTCTCCCTGATGTGGCTACTTTCCCTCAGTCCCCCGAGGTGGCACAGTGGGTGGAGCACTGTACTTGGAGTCAGGAAGACCTGGGTCTGAATGCAGGATGTTGCCGTCAGGCTGTCGTCACTGCTGGCTCTGAGGAGGCCCTTGCTGGTGGAAGTGGGGAATCTCAGAGCAGGGTTTCTGCATCACCTTTTTGTGGCTCACAGATTCCTGGGGACATCCTTGCTTTCAGGCATCCCTGGGAAACCGAGGGTTAGACAAAGATGGGAGGCAATTTACCCGTGGGCCTGCAGCCTGGAGCCCTGGCTTGGCCCTGGTGGCGAGCAGCTTCGGGCTGGGGCCTTTTCTCCTGCCCAATGAAGTGTTGTCCTGTCTCTCTCCTAGTGGGCTCCCTCCAGGAAGGCCACTGTGCCAGTCAGTCCGGAATGACCCCAGGTTCTTGGCAACATAAAATGAAACTGCAGCTAATCCTCAAGTCGTCCAAGGCTTACTATGTCCTGTCGGATGCTGCGATGAGCCTCCGGAAGTATGGACGGGCCCTACGCTACATTAAGCTGGCCTTGCAGAGCCATGGTGAGTGACTGAAGGTGGTGTGGGTCAAGTGGTTTACTGACCGTCTGAGCTGGAAGCGGGGCGGGGAGGGTTGGAGGGGGGTTGGGTCATCCCATTGAGAGCTGGGGCAGCCCCAAGTGATAGGAAGTCTTTGCTCACATTAGACCACAGTCTACCTCGGGGCCCCTCCACCCCTTGCTTCCCCCTCTGCCCTTGGGCCCCAGGGAACCCAGCCCTGCATGTGATCTTGGGAAGCAGCTCCCCCAGGGCCTCAAGTGTGCTAGGCTACGCGTAGCGCAGAATTTCAGCTTGAATGGACATCGTGGTTGCTAGTCTAGGAGACCCTCCCACAAGGATTCATTATCTGCTTGATGGCGTTTCTTGCCCTAAACCTTGCACTCCACGTTCTTGCCCACTTCTAAACACCCTCCAGCTATGGTACAGAAGTGGTGGAAGGGAGGTGACTGAGCTGGAGGGAAATTGGGCTGGGGACCCTGACCCTTTAGGTTTGTTTTGTTATGAGATATGTAACCCTTCCCTGGTTGGCCAGCTGTGTGCATCTCCTAAGCGCCTTCTGTGTGCCAGGCTCTGTGCTTAGCCCCACAGATACAGACACAAGCGAAGGGAAATAGCCCCTGCCCTCCAGTGGGGGAGGAGAACATGCAGTAGAGAGGGGAGCTGAGATGTGTCTGAGGGCAAGGAGGGGGGTCCTCGTGCAGGGCATTGGTGGCACAAAACTGTTAGTGTAGGAGGTCTAGCCAGGGCGGCCCGAAGAATGGCGACCCTGGCCCCTCCCTGCACTCCAGGCCCTGCCAGCAGCTCACCCAGGGGAAAAGGGCTCAGAGAGGTTCAGAGCTGCCCCGGGTGGGCCCAGGAGAGAATCTCCTCTCCTCCCAGTCCCCCTCTGCAGGGACCGCCCTTCCCCATCAGAAGAACCCCCCACCCTCTGACCACAGCTTTCTAGCCTTCGCCCTCCGGGCCTGTTCTCTCTGCAGCCACCACCCCAGTCCTGGTCAGCTTTATGCTGGCCTGGTTGTCCCGGCCCACCCTGGCCTCTCCCACTGCTGCAGGACAGCCAGCTCACCAAACCCCCTCCCTTCTTATCATCTTGATCATTGCCAGCATTGGTAAGGGCTTTATTGTTGGCAGAATGTCTTATTTATTTCTTTGGATTCTCACAACAGCCCTGGGAGGGGGAGCTGTTATCCCCATTTTACAGATGAGGAACTGACCTGCCCAGGGTCTAAGGCTGGATTTGAACTCGGGCCTTCCTGACTCCAAATCAAGCCGTCTCCATGATACCCCTGGCGGCCTTGCAGTCTCTGGCATTTGGCCTCATCACTGAAGTGAAACAGGCTGCTTCATTTACCAGGGATCTCTCAGTTCATAATCCCAGTGACCCTTTCTCGGGTCTCTTCCCTCTTGGCCCCCAA